AAAACGAACAGAGATCATGCTGTCATTTTTGAGATTGCATCCAAGTACTGCATTTTGGACTCTTGTTGACCATGATGGCTACTCCATTTCTTCTAAGGGATTCCTGTCCACAGTAGTAGATATAATGGTCACCTGAGTTAAATTCACCCATTCCAGTCCATTTTAGTTTGCTGATTCCTAGAATGTCGACATTCACTCTTGCCATCTCCTGTTTGACCACTTCCAATTTGCCTTGATCCATGGACCTAACATTCCAGGTTCCTATGCAATATTGCTCTTTGCAGCATCGGACCTTGCTCCTATCACCAGTCACATCCACAACTGGGTATTGTTTTTGCTTTGGCTCCAACCCTTCATTCTTTCTGGAGTTATTTCTCCACTGATCTCCAGTAGTATATTGGGCACCTACCGACCTGGGGAGTTCCTCTTTCAGTATCCTATCATTTTGCCTTTTCATACTGTTCATGGGGCTCTCAAGGCAAGAATACTGCAGTGGTTTGCCATTCCCTTCTCCAGTGGACCACATTCTGTCAGACCTCTCCACCATGACCCGATGGTCTTGGGTGGCCCCACACGGCATGGCTTAGTTTCATTGAGTTAGACAAGGCTGTGGTCCTGTGATCAGATTGGCTAGTTTTCTGTGACTATGGTTTTAGTGTGTCTGCCCTCTGATGCCCTCTCGCAACACCTACCGTCTTACTTGGGTTTCTCTTACCTTGGATGTGGGGTATCTCTTGACGGCTGCTTCAGCAAAACGCAGCCGATGCTCCTTACCTTGGACGAGGGGTATCTTCTCATGGCCTCCCTGACCTTGGACGTGGGGGAGCTCCTCTTGGCCGCCGCCCCTGTCTTCGGACGTGGGGGAGCTCCTCTGTGCCGCTCCTGCGCTATCGCAGCCTAGCACTCTCCGTCGCCACCGCTGACCTTGGGCGAGGGGTAGCTCCTCACGGAGTTGAAGATGAAAAAATTTCAATACAGAAAGTACAGAAAATAATATAACCACCTATGTATCTGCTAGCTAGACTTAAGAATCAAGATCTTGTCATATTTGCTTTGAAACTCTCTTCCTTCTTAAAGCATAAAATATTACTGAAAATATGTTACACTCTCCAACTTTTCCCCTTCACTTCTCTAGAGCTTGGTATATGTAATTGCAGTGTATACTATTACATTACACTCTACATGGATGTATTCATGAACATTTTGTTTCTGTGCTTAAGCCTATGTCCAGCTATGTGCTGGAAATTGAGATTAAGATGCTCAGTTGCCTCTTTACTTTAAAGTATTCTCCTGTCATAAAGTTGCCATTTCTACCCACTACACTGTGAGTTACATAGACACAAAACCATTCTTGTCTTTCTCAACTGCTCAGGCACCAAGTCCTACTGATTAATAGAAATAACAAACACCTCTGTATGTTCTTTTATTTCAGTTACTACCATCATTATCTAGTTCAAATCCTTCTTATAAAATATCAGAATTAGTCTCCCAAGTATTTTCTTTCCTATACTTTCTCCCACATGTTTGTCCTTACTACACAAAGTCACCAGATTTTTAAAAACTTTTACTTGACCTTGTTGTCACCTCCCTGCTTACAAAGCATCAAGGACTCGCTACTGGACAAAGCACACATGCTTTGTGATACAGTTAAGTCCCCGTGCTTTCTGACTCCAACCTATAACCCTTTGTTCACACATCTATTAAAGCCCTAATTCCATTGTTGGGTAATTACTCATTATTGTGCCTTAAACCCTCACCACACTATGAGTTCCTAGAGGTCAGGAACTGCTGTATTCATCCTTGTAGCTCTAGGCCTGGTTCATGTTTCATGTTCAATACACAGACGTTTACCTGAATTAACGCTGTCATTTTAAATCACAGAAGTCACCTGAGCATGGAGTAGATAGGTGAGTGGTCCAGTATGGTACTTGTCCTTTGCATAAAAGAGTGCTGTTTTCTCATTTTTCTTTCTTTCTTTCTTAAATGGAAACAAAACTTTTGAGGTACTGCTTTATAGTTTTCTCACAATATCCTTGTCTGGTTTGTTAGAGTAATAACTGGCTTCATAAAATGAGTTGAGAAGTGCACTGTCTTCTATAATATTTTAGAAAACTATATGAAGTGTTGGAGTTAACCTGATTTAAACATTTGGGAGATTTTACCAGTGAAGCTCTTTGGAACTGGGCTTTTCTTTATGGTATTTTTAAAATTACGATTTCAATCTGTTTATTTGATATAGGTCTACTCAGACTCTCTACCCTGATAGCTCAGTTGGTAAAGAATCCAGTTTGATTCCTGGGTCGGGAAGATCTGCTGGAGAAGGGATAGGCTACCCACTGCAGTACTCTTGGGCTTCGCTGGTAGCTCAGCTGGTAAAGAATCTGCCAGCAATATGGGAGACCTGATTTCCATCCCTGGGTTGGGAAGATCCCCTGGAGAAGGGAAAGGCTACCCACTCCAGTATTCTGGCCTGGAGAATTTCATGGACTATATAGTCCATGGGGTTCCAAAGAGTTGGGCACAACTGAGTGACTTTCACTTCACTACTCAGATTCTCTAATTCTTTTTAAGTCGCTTCTGTAGTTGGTGTCCTTTCCTATGCTAGTTTATTGTCCTGCAGTTGTTAATAATTTGTTATTTAGTCACTAAGTCCTGTCCAACTCTTCTGCAACCCCATGAACTGTAGCCCGCCAGGCTTACCTGTCCATGGGATTTCCCAAGCAAGAATACTGGAGTGGGTTGCCATTTTTCTTCTCCAGGGGATCTCTCCCACCCAGGGATCAAACCCTTGTTTTCTGCTTGGCAGGCGGTTTCTTTACCACTGAGCCACTAGGGAAGTCCAATTGTTAACAATATACTTGTATAATAATCTTTTTTATTTCTGTAACATTGGTAGTAATATCTCTCATTTAACCACAAGTTTAGTAATTTTAGTTTTTTCTCTTTTTCTCTTGGTCAGTCTAGCTAAACTTTTGCCAGCTTTCTCTGTCATTGCAAAAACCAAATTTTGGTTTAGTCAATTTTCTCCATTTTTTTCCTATTCTCCATTTCACTCATTTCTGCTCTAATCTTCAGTATTACATTCATTTTGCACACTTTAGGTTTAGTTGGCTCTTCTCTTTCTAGTTTCTTAGGTTAGAAGTTTAGGCTATTTGTTTTAGATCTTTATTGTTTTTTACTAAAGGTATTTACGCTGTAAATTACCCTTCAAGCTTAGCTTTTGCTGCATTCTGTAAGTTTTTGTTTGCTGTGTTTTCATTTACATTCATAGTAACATATTTTCTCTTTTGTTTTCTTCTTTGACCTGTTGTTTATACAGTGTGTGTGTATTTGATAATGTGTTAGTCTCAGTTGTGTCTGACTCATTGCGACTCCATGGACTGTACTGCCAGGCTCCTCTGTCTATGGAATACTCCAGGCAAGAATACTGGAATCGGTAGCCATTCCCTTCTCCAGGGGATCATCCCAACCCAGGGCTCAAACACAGGTCTCCTGCATTGCAGGCAGATTCTTCACCATCCGAAGCACCAGGGAAGCCTTGTTTATACAGTGTGTTGTTTAATGTTTACATATATGTGGCTTTCTTAGATTCTCTTCTGTTACTGATTTCTACTTTTACTCAATTGTTGTTGAAAGATGTACTTTGTGTGATTTCAATCCTTTTGAATTTATTAAGACTTGTTTTATGGTCTACCACATGGTCTATACTGGGGAATATTCCCTGAATTCTTGAGAATATTTATTCTGCTGCAGTTGTGCGGCATGTTCTATAGATGGATGGTAGGTCTAGTTGGTTTACTAGTTGATTGTTCAATTTCTCTATTTCCTTGTTGATCTATCCATTATTGTTCTATTGATCTACCGTAATTGTTATATCCATGATTGCAAGTGGGGCATTGAATTCTCTGTTATTATTGACCAATTTCTCTCTTCATTTCTGTCAGTTTTGTTTTATGCATCTTAGGACTGTTAGGTGTCTTCTGTTTTTAGGTGTCTATATATTTATAATTGCTATTTCTTCTTGAATGATCAACTCAAGTATCATTATAAAATGTTCCTCTTTTTCTTCATTAACAATTTTTGTCTTAAAGTCCATTTTGTATAGCCATTCTAGCTCTCTGTAATCATTTGTATGGTATATCATTTTACAGAACTCTGGAAATTAACAAAGACTTTCAGCTACCCAGAGTTCAGCAAAAGTTGTTTCTGAAAGTTTTTCCAGTTTTTTCATTGCTTTTAGGAAAGAAATTTCAGAGGTCCCCACTTTGTCATTTTTGCTGATGTCACTTCTTGATTCATTCTATAAGGACATTTAAATATTTTCCTAAGTATCAAGTTTTGGAATAATTTTGGTATTAATGTCTAATATTATTCTGTTGTGATCTGGAAACTTACTCCATATGAATAACTTTATTTTTTGTTAATTGATGGAAGTTTTTGCTTTAACCTGGAATTTAAGAATTAGAAAAATTCATATTTAACTGAAGTTTAAATGTAAGCCCACTTTAATTGCATTTTTTTTTACCATAAATGAAGTGCATTTATTAGGAAGATAAATGCCACACCATTACAAGTAGTTCCCTTGGGCACTTAGCAACTTCACAGGAACCTTGATAGAGTTCACAGGATTTTTCTTATAACAAAGAAGGAGTTTTAAGGCAGATGAATTCGAGGCCACAAAAACTACATCTGTGATACAGGCACAACATTCAGAAATGACTTAGGCTCCAAATGTCCCTGTTCCCAGCAAATCTCTGAAGGACTCGGTCGACAGCTTCTGTCAGGGACTCAGACGCAGTGTCTCAAAAGCAATTCAATACAACACTGATGCTGAGGGGGTCGTCCTGAGACCTCCCCAAATCACATGGTTAACTGACCCACGGTGCTGTGTATAAGCCTCACATGCTTTTATTTAACACAAACTTGGACACTGTCCTAGAGAACAAATGCACATTAAGCAAGAGGAAAACAGGACTTAGAATCACGTCCCACAAACAGGATTACAGAAAACGAGGGCCACATCGGCCACACGGATGGACTGATGACTTTTCTGACAGACGGTGAAACGAGGTTTCTAGAGATGCTGCGGTAAGCTCCGTCTTCCCCTCCGCGGTCACCACCTGGATTAGGCTTCCTGAGTTTGGTCGGTTTTTCTCTGTGATCCAGTCATGGAAGGTTTCGACCAGGAACTCCAAGGGCGTCCAGGAGCTGAAGTCGGCCTCAGGCATCGACTTCCTGTTCACTGGGGTGTCCAGGGTGACCGGGAGCAGGGCGACGCCCGCAGCCCCGAGCGGCAGGCCGTTGTTCTTCCTGGCCAGGCTCTGGCAGAGCTGGTGAACTGCAGCCTTGGCCATGCCGTAGCTGATCATCCCTGGCGTCCCTTCCAGGGCGGCCCTGGCCCCGCCAAGGTCAGGAGGCCTCCTTCCTTGAGATGCTTGGTGGCCAGGTGGCTGGAGATGGTGGATGTCCACACTCTCTGCTTCCACATCTCCACAGTTTTTTAAAGAGCGACTTGGACTTGGCATTGCCCCCAGCCCACCCTCCAGCCACACAAAGGATCGCATCCACCTGCTCTGTACCCAGGAGCTTTGCCACCTCAGCCGTCACCTGGTCGGCCTGCTCCGTGAACGAGTCTGTCATTTTAACCACGACGTTGGCACTGGCTTCTTCGTTCTCCTGCACGTCGATGCTGGCGACCCACCAGTTGCAGGCCCGGAAGGCCTGCACGCATCGCGGGCCCAGCGCGCCCCGGCCGGCCCGCCTTGCCCTCTGCCGCCGCCGCCATCCCTCCACTGCGCTCGGCTTCCGCTAATTTCATTTTTTGCTGCAACTTTTTCTTAAGTATATAAATTTACTTTCATTGACCACTCAGGACAGAGATATTAATGAATATCAACACAATAATTTTATGCTGATTGAAGATTTTACAATGTTCAAGGGTTATTATTCAAACATGTGCTATGGTGTGTAACAGACCTGGATTCAAATACCAGGCCTGTTACTACCAACTATGTGAACTTGGACAAGTGACCTAACTTCATGGCCTTGGACAAGTGACTTAATATCACTAAGCCTCAGTTTTCTCATCTACAGAATTAAAATATGTGATTTTTTAAAAACAGAGTTATTGTCAAGATTAAACAAAATGGCAGATGTTCAGAATGACTGGAAGAGAGGATATGTGAAGAAATAAATGTAAAATTTTAGCCAGGGCCAGATCACAGAGATGGGCACACAGAAAGTGTTTCATAAACGTTTATTGCTTTCCCTATTTCCTTATATAGAAATCATAGGAAAATTGTAGAAAACTGTACTCAATGTAAGACTAGGACATCCTTCCTTCCAGAAGATTTGGGGGTATTTGTTAACGAAATTGGCTGACTTCCATCTGTTTTTTGTTATTTGCTTCTTTCTGTGTTAAAGTTAATAACAGCAAGATCCCAGTAACTTGAGAGTTCTGATTGGTTGAGTTCCAATGAATTGAGTTTTTACCTACCACCAGTAACTGAGAGTTGAGTTTAACTTGAGAAATAGCCCCATGATTCTTTGAGTATATTATTTGCAAAGGAAAAGTATTAAAACTAATCACTCACTCAAAGACCTGTGATAAATCTGTATTCGATTCTTTATTTTAAGGGTCTTGAGCAGCATCAAGTAATATACTTCTGATGAAGAAATTCATTCAGTAAAGTTTTCTTCAAATGAACTAAAATGAAGCTTCTCCATTCATTTAGCTTCCTTTGGTTAAATGTGTTTTGTGTTGAAGTACCAGTAGAAGAAGAATAAAAGATCTTAAGTCAATTTGGGAGTAATTTAGGCACCATTATCAGTTATTGAGAATTCTTCTTTAATTATATTTAAATGTAGTCCTCTCTTCAAGGGTTTTAACCTCTTTTTAGTAGCACCATTTGGCATTAACATAGGAAAAGTGAATCACTATTAAATCTCAAGCCTCCTTATTCTACTTTTAAATCGACATTCACCTTTCTACTCTTTTAATCTATCTGAACTCAAATGTTCATTCCTTTCATTTCCATTCTCTTCAACTCTTCCTTATGTTCCCTTATAGATATGACAGGAATACAATAGCATTGGTTTTATGTAGTGTGTAAATATGTATAAATACTTATGCCTACTTATCTATATACACATACATCTTATTCTTGAATGTCTGCTTTGGGGTCTATAAAATGTATCCATCTATCTCATTTATTTATCACAAAAGCCCTTTGAAATCAGTGCTTTTAACCCCAGTTTTTGTCTTTAGAAATAAGGGAGCCTAGATTTTCTTAATCCATCTTAAGTTTCTCACCCTTTTGTCACTATTTAAATAATATTCTATATTTTTTTAAATATAGAAATAAGTGTTGTCCCTTTGGGGGCCGTGCATTTATTTATTCCAGTGGGATTCTGAGGTTTCTCCAATTTTGACCCACACTTTTGGGAACTGACTTCAGGACTTATTCTTAAGACTCTTGGTGGTATAAAAATTTGATCTTTTGAGAGTGGATTTAATTTTTGGAAAGGATATACTGTCTCCAAAAGCCAAGCCTGATGAGCAACTGGGAGTGGATCAAACTGGGTAATGCTGTTTTTGTTCATTGATAAGGTGTGAATCTGAAGGAATGAGTGTGCTTTTCTCGTATGACTCAGATACAGGTTCTAAAGGCATTTTCCCAAAGGTGATCCAAAATGTGAAGTACTGGCACTGAAGAGGTTAATTTTGAAAGACAAAAGTCACTTGTTTTAAATACTGAAAATTGTATTGAAACAAAGTAGGCTCTTTGCTTTTTAGACAGGCAGTGGTCTTTATAGGATGGGGACCAGCCTGTTCTGTGATGATTCAAGTATAATTTTACGTTCACTGACCACACCTTCTATAGAACAAAGGCTCCAACCACTCAGTAAGAGTCACTTATTTTGAAAACTCCAGGCTTTGCCTACTTAAATAACACATAACCTCTTCAATCTCCTTAGTAAGCGCTGGATCAAAATGAAGAGTGGATTGAATGTCCTGCTGCTGTAGGAAATACCTTAATGAAGAGAAGTGCCTCTGTTAATTGGATTGAGGAATCTCAAAAGTTAGGTAACTTACTCCAAACCTCCCAAATATAAAGAACTGGTTGCATGTAGATTTATACCGTGCTAGTAGGACTGAGTTCTAGTAGGACTAGAGTGCTAGTAGGACTGAGTGCTAGTAGAACTCAGTTCAGGACTGAGCAACAAATGTAATAGGCAACATTCAACATCCTTTTAATCCTGGGTGGCCACAGTGTGAAAAAGGACTTTAAGGGTCCAGTGACAGAAACATGCTGGAAAATAAATAATGGGATTCAGGAGAAATCACACTCAGAAGCAGTTAGGAGCAGTCACAGCTCTGTGGCATCTTTCTTCTTTGCCACTGAAATGTAGCCAACGCTTCGTGCAGGGCGTGCAGTCCACTTGCACACAGCACATGGCGCAGTGCCTTTCCTGAGGGTCACTAGATTTTCATATTCTTTTGAAGAAACTCTGATGCTTCTCCTTCTAATGCTTTGTCTTCAAAGTACAAGCATATAGAAATTAGCCTTGCTGGAGTTCTTAGAAGCTACAAACCCAGGGTTGCCAGCTTTGGGTTTTTCTATTATGTTATACAATGACACAATCAAGGTGCTCAGTTCTTGAACCATTATGCAGTAAAGAGCACACAGGTACTCCTTTAAGAATGTCCACTAGTAATTCAAGTTTGTTCTGTGGCATATGTTTCCTTTAAAGAGAAAGAGCCCTTCAGAGGGATGGTACTGGCCAGAGAGGGCTACCACTAATGTATGCTTTGACAAGTGACTTTTACAGCTAAAGTTGGACTACTCTTTTCCTTCTGGCTTTGATCTAAGCCTTAGTCATTCATTACACATTATTATAAACCGTCAATTTAAATTCCACTGCCTTTCCTCATACTATCCTCCTTGGTCTTTCTAGGCCCATTAAAGGAATTGTTTCTTAGAAACAGTATGAAGAGAAGCCAAGAGCCCTTCAATATCTCCATATTTCCTTCTTTCTCCACCTCTTACTGACCTCTCTCTCTCAAAATCACCTGCATTATGAAGTCTTCCATTTGTACCTGAGTGTGTGAACCTTTTAAATTTCACGTAATAACAAAAGTATATAAGAAAAAAACTTTAATAAATGTACTATTTAAGCACATGCCATTTTAAACGTTAACTTTTCCTCTGACCTTATGTAAAATGTAAAGATCTAAACAGTATCATAATCACCCTCCCACTTAATTGTCACCGAGGCAACCAGAACCTTCAAGTAAATGGCAAAAGTTTCCATTGCAGGTAAAATCTGGGGAAGCACTGCCCAGGAAGCCTGCATTCCAAAGCTGGCTGTCTAGGTCTTCCCACACATGGGAAACACTGAAGTTACTTAGAAATAGATTACATGTGCTAATTGCAGCCATCAGTGGTTTTGGAAGAGAAGGGATTCTGTGACTTTCATCTGCTGATTGTGACATTATTGGTCTGTGTGCATCTGCGGCAAAGGGTTCAGGGTGGTATAAAAAGGGTTGCATTTACCAAAGAAATATTGCTCCATACATGGATTGTCTTTAAGGTGCTAGAAAGTGGGTTTCTTTTTTTCTTTTTTTTTTTTTTTAGAGTAAACAGTGACACAGACCAGTGGAGAAGTGCAAATGTCAATTTCTTTCTCTCTTTGCCTTATGAAATAGAAAAGCAAATCTTAGCCCTTAGGATGAAGTGGACAAAGATGGAGGGTACTGGGGGAGGCAGCAAAAGGAATATGAGAGATTTAACACATTCACCTCTAATTTCCTACATTCTTCTGAATCATTCTGTTCTCTATTCTTGGACCTATACAAAATTTGGTTTTCATCGGTGTGGGGAAGTACTGATTCAGTTTGTCATGGGGAACTCTCAGCAGATATATAGTCCAGCCCTTTTCTTTATTCTTTTGTTCTTTCATGTGTTCTTTCCTTCATTTATTTACCCAACATTTTAAAACACTCACTCCACTCAAGGTGAAAGTGATACAAATATAAATAAGGCATAGTCTCTGCTCAGAAAGCGTTCACAGCCTAGTGGGGGAGGCAGAGATGTAATAATAGAAAGAGAAGGGATTGAGTTCTGTCCAAAGTACAGTGGGGGCACAAAAGGGAGAATGATTACTTTTTCCAAATGAAGTTGAAATAATGATAATAATCCAAAGAGCAGGTGACACCATTACTGATGAAGAAAACGAAGCAGAGAAGGGAGGTGAGTTGCCTAAAGTCTTGTGGGAGGCAGACTGTGACATCACCTTACCATTGGCATTGATGCCACACCTCAGCACAGTAATAGTAAGTTTTGGCCTTATTCCTGTACATTAGTGA